ATAATATACGGTCTCCATTGAGCCTTAAATGTGGTTTCATAAGGCAACCTATAATATACGGTCTCCATTTAGCCTTAAATGTGGTTTCATAAGGCAACCTATAATATACGGGTCTTCATTGAGCCTTAAATGTGGTTTCATAAGGCAACCTATAATATATACGGGTCTTCATTGAGCCTTAAATGTGGTTTCATAAGGCAACCTATAATATATACGGGTGTCTTCACTGAGCCTTAAATGTGGTTTCATAAGGCAACCTATAATATATACGGGTCTTCATTGAGCCTTAAATGTGGTTTCATAAGGCAACCTATAATATATACGGGTCTTCATTGAGCCTTAAATGTGGTTTCATAAGGCAACCTATAATATACGGGTCTCCATTGAGCCTTAGATGTGGTTTCATAAGGCAACCTACAATATACGGGTCTTCATTGAGCCTTAGATGTGGTTTCATAAGGCAACCTATAATATATACGGGTCTTCATTGAGCCTTAAATGTGGTTTCATAAGGCAACCTATAATATATACGGGTCTTCATTGAGCCTTAAATGTGGTTTCATAAGGCAACCTATAATATATGCGGGTCTTCATTGAGCTTTAAATGTGGTTTCATAAGGCAACCTATAATATATACGTGTCTTTATTATACTTGGTTTCGACGATTTTTCTATTTCTGTCCTGTAATCTTACAAAGTAACCAAATTATGTTTGTGCAGAAACCATCTTTTCCTGATTAAACGGTAGATATGAGCCAAACGGAAATGTCAGGAAGAGTTTTTCTAGCCAGTTTTAAAGTAAATGCATTTTGACAATTCTTTTCCTGTGTTATTTACGTGTTTACAACTAGGGACGTGCCGTGCCGCAGGGGGTGGGTGGGAGAGAGCCCAAACTGAACGTGTTTACAACTAGGGACGTGCCGTGCCGTAGGGAAAGGGGGGTTTGACAGACGAGGCTGAATTCGGGTAAGTTCAAACGGCTGGGTCTTTCAGGTCAACGGCTCTACTGTAGGTGAGGGAAAGGGCGGGAATATGGCCCACCCCTTTCCAAACCACCAATAAAGCAGTAAGAATCAAACTTAGATTGCTTTTTTTACTTCCTTTTAACAAGGCTAAGAAAATGAGTCGTTTTAGGCATATCTTAGGGCAAGGAGAAAAATACGGGGGTTATATAGAAACTATAAATTATACTATTATAATAATTTTCTGGGCGACATGTCCCCATATTGAAAAACTCGGAGAAAGTAGTAAGACGACATTTCGCGACGTACAAAAATTAAACGTGAACACGAGTAAATTTGTATCTAATTGATTCAAACTGCTGACGAACACTTGAAAGCTATGTGGGGTATATAATGTAGACACCTCTCCATCTTTGAACGAAATGTATCGTTCTGTATCAGTACGTATCTTTTAACGTAATTATTATAAAGTTCTTCACGCCACCCGTGTCTGATGTTACTAACTATTGAAAAAAGAAGTGTTTTGTTCACAGCTTTTTAAATGTGTAAAAAAAAAAAACTGGCGGAAGATTGTTAACTGTACTCGGATATTTTATAAACTATATAAAATGCATTGTGGGAAGTAGAAAACGATTATTGAGATGCTTTATCGATTCGTTACCATAGCGGCACCTAGTGGTGATTATATTACTCGCTCTTGTTTACTAAAGTGTCAAGAGCGTGAGTGGATGATACATGTTGTTTGTCAATGTGTCCGTTATTCTTCCTCATCTGTACGTAAATAGCGCATGTTCCGGATAGGGCATTCCACCTGCACTACTAATTTAGGCTTAATGAATCACTTGCTTCCGTGTAGGCTTAGCTTGCTGTAGTTCTTCATATTTACTAAATATAAATACGTGGTGAATTTGACACAACATAGAATCAGTCGCTTTTTTTTTATTGTGGTTTGGACAAACAGTTGCCAACTGGTTGACATGATTGACCGCTGGACGAGCGTGGTTGGCTGCTGAGCACGTGACTTCTCTCACGAACTCAGCATATCAAAGTGGCATGTTGTTCACATGACAGTAATAATAACATTCAAGCTTACCGTTGTTTTTGGTTTATAGAATTTTCATGTCAACCCTCGTATCTTCTCCACACGACTGTCTCGTTAAGAGGGTCATATTTATAAAAATGAGGATAAAACGTGGATGACGTGATGTTCATTAATCTTCCACATTATGATGATTTTCAGTCGAATGGGGAGACAGGGGGCAATATTGGGTCTCAAAATTGGTTGGCTTTCTTAAAGGGGCACATATAACCCTTAAAGGGCCGGGCGCACGCAAGGCTTATGATTTGATGTATTGAAATGCTCCTTAGCAGTTTCTTGGGTCCTTTTGGGGTCACTGGCCATTACATAAGCGTGATTGAGGTGCCGGAGAATGGGGAGGGGTCTTATTTGTCATTAAGCACAAACCCTCACAATTGGTCATCTGTGTGTTCCCACCACGGGTATCGAAACCCGGTTTTTAGCAATGTGGGCCGTCAGACTTACCGCTGAGCCACTGGGGGCGGGAGGGGGTGTGGATGAAGTTTTAAAATTGTTTAATTACTCCAGTAAATTTAAATCACTAGTTGAAGTTGGAAAGGAACTGGGAGAGGGGGGGGGGATTGCCGAGTATTCAAGGTTCGCCTCACGAAGCAGCTGAATCTTTTAGATATCATTATTTTTAAATCTATTTCTGAATCTTGTATGTCGCTGTTTTCATAGTGAGGGAAGAAGTAAGATTTTTTATTACCTGAAATAATCTGTTCATATGTAAGAATACAAGATATCTTCTAAAGTAGGCTTAAGTCACTGAGGTCACGGTGGATCAGGTCGGACGTCGACCTCTTGCTCACAGTGTCCACTAAAATTGGATTCATTCAGCGATGAATCCAATTTTAGTGGACACTGTGAGCAAGAGGTCGACGTCCGACCTGATCCACCGTGACCTCAGTGACTTAAGCCTACTTTAGAAGACAGCAAAGCTTAATGTCATTTAAACAACCTATTTTAATATTATCAAAGAACGAACCGGTATTAATCCGTTCATTATCATTAATAACTTGACTGAATACAAGGGAGAAAATTGTTTCATTTCGCGTAAAATTACTCGAGGGCTATTTGCGCTAAACATCTCTAATTTATAATTGATAGAATATAGAGGAAAGGTAGCTAGTTAACACCACCACCCACCAACTTTTGAGCTGCTCTTTACCAACGAAAAGTGAAATTAATCGTTACATTACAACGCTCTTAAGACTGACAAAAAAAATCACGCTTGGATACGGGATTCGAACCCACAGATTACGAGTCGAGTGCCCTAACCACCGGTGCAAAGAAAAAAATTAAAGTATTTGAAACTTAAACAACAAAATTTTTTGATTTGTTGTAATCTCTACACTAGTCTTTTAATTCATAAAATCGCAAAGAGACTTTCAGAAACGTTTTCAAGATATTTTAACATTTTTCTATGACAGATTACCACTGAATAATATGAAGTTATTATTATTTATATATTGTGTAGCTTTCGTAATACTTTTGAATAATATTGCGTTAAATAGATATTAGAAAACTGACGAAAAATAAAAATTACGAAAGCGCCACCTGTGTGAAAATAAAACCTATTTATCATAACGGCATGACACCACAATTTTTTCTGGAACTTTCCCCAGCTTTTAATTGTGCGCATGCGTGCGTATATTTATTATGGGGGGAGTAATATTTTATGTAAATATCAAATTGGAATATTTATTCATTAAATACAAATAAACCTGCAATTTTAAGAAGTGGTCGAAGGTCACCTAAGATATTAATTAGTTAGAATTCTTAGGAGATTATCATGCGACTACCAAGTTTATGAAAATTCAACAAATCGAAATCAGTCTTTAGATATGGAAGAAAATGTAGAAACTGATTAATTTGCAAAACTCAATTTTTATTATGAATGAAGTAAACTCCTGTTGTTGTTTTTTGTTGTTGTTGTTTTTTGGCGTGAATTCGGATTAGCCTAGGCCTAACTCAATTTTTATTATGAATGAAGTAAACTCGTTGTTTTTTTTGTTGTTGTATTTTTTTGGTGTGAATTGGGATTAGCTTAGGCCTAAAGTAATTTACACCTAAAGAAACTTTAGACCTACTGCCTTTTCTCGTGTTATCGGTTGTTGTTTTTTTTTTTTTAATTATGATTTATCTAGTTTCTAAGTGTACGTGTTTCCTAACTATCATATACGTTGTAACCATTGTATGCAAACAAGGTATTATTAAAATGTACCAAAGTGAATGAAATATCAGTATTATTTATTTTCCTGTTTGATAAGATGTAACATTTTCCTACGTATGGTGACGTAACACTCAATCTCCGACTACATACCGCCTTATGTAACAAACAATTTTTTTATCGAGAGATAGTTGGCATAACGCCAAAAGACGGCGTGTGCGTCATTTGGTAAGTTACACGATTGGTTGTTATCAACAGACAGACAACGATCACACACTACCCACGAACATGATTTACTTCAAATCTTTGTACATGATAAAAATAAGCTTTTATGTCAAAATATGTCGATGAAGATATTTCAATACTCGCTTCAACTTTATTTACGTCTGTTTATATCGAGTTTCTTTAGTGCTGATTTCAGTCTTTTGTGTGTGTCTGTGTGGTAAAGCACACAACTACACAACGGGCTATCTGTGCTGTGCCCACTATGGGTATCGAAACCCTGTTTCTAGCGATATAAGTCCGCAGACTTTCCGCTGTGCCACTTGGGGGGGGGGGGGGTTCAGTAAAATAAATATTGGATCAAATGTGTACTGTTTACAGTAAAGATATACAAAAACATATTTTGCAACTATTAAAGCCCTATGGCGTAATTAGAACATTATAGTTTATATATCATACAGTGATTTTTTTTTTGTAACTAAGTAGGCTTTTTTCACTGTTTAATTTAGCTAGTCTAACCTGCTAAGCCTACTTAGTTACAAAAAAAAAATCACCGTATGATATATAAACTATAATGTTCAAAATTTTCACTGTTTAATTTAGCTAGTCTAACCTGCTTGATAATTAAGGTAGATTTTTTAGTATCTTTTAAATATTATATAAAAAGTTCAATACTACAGTGTAAAATAATTGTACAGATAAGTAATTTTTAAAAAAAGTTCCTTAAAATTGACTTAAGTGTTAAATCATACCTCATGTTCTCGGATTTTGTGAACTATACCTGTGGGAAGAGTTGATTAACACAATTAGTGAAAGAAAGTTACGCTACTGAGATTTAATAGATTTTTTGAAATACATAATTTATATTTTCCATATGTTTTCAAATATATTATACTATTTTAAAATGTTTATTATATTTTTAAGTATACTGATAGCTTATATTTTCATAACAGGTTTATTCAAACGAATAATCTCAACGCTTGGCTAGCCCTAACAATTAACTCGTGGACTATTTACTATATATAGATTTATAATATCTGCGGATAGTCTATAGATGATGACAAAACCTTATCGAAACGTTGTACATTTGCTGTTATGTTAGACTTATATTAAAGTTTTTCTTCGTTACCCATTCAAGCCGTCTCCAGCCATTATTAGTCTATAGAGACGTCTCACGGTATTGCTTTTCGTGCTCATGGTACTGTTGCTACCCCTTACTTTTTTTGACAAACAATTTAGTATAAATTTTTGAAAAGACACCTTGGATAATACATTTTCCAAGATATATAAGTTATCTTTGGGGCAAAGTAGCAATGAGACATCATTTATCGTCTTATCTTATTGCTAATCATTTAGTCTAACGAATACTAATACTTGTTTTTATAGCTCAT